CCCTTCGACAAGCCAACCGACTTCTCTTTGCAGGCAGGGCTAGATCTCCCGGGCATGAGAAGGTTTAGGGTTTAGGGTTTAGGGTTTAGGGTTTAGGGTTTAGGGTTTAGGGTTTAGGGTTTAGGGTTTAGGGTTTAGGGTTTAGGGTTTAGGGTTTAGGGTTTAGGGTTTAGGGTTTAGGTTTAGGGTTTAGGGTTTAGGGTGAGAAGGTTTGGAGTTTACGCGAAGGGCCCTCCCTGCCCCTCAATGTTCAAACCCTTAACCCTTAAGGAGCTCCTTCTTATCTCGCCTGTAGACCTGAATTTCTACATTCCGAGCATGCGGACTTGAATTCATACACTTAGAAAAAGGATGTGGGCTGAGGTGTTCGGCCCATGAATGTGGAGCTTCGGGCTAGAGGCTCTGGGACTTCGTGGAAGGTCTTGTGCCCTGTGTCGTGTGATTTCGTGTTCCCAACCCTAAACCCTAAACCCTAAACCCTAAACCCTAAACCCTAAACCCTAAACCCTAAACCCTAAACCCTAAACCCTAAACCCTAAACCCTAAACCCTAAACCCTAAACCCTAAACCTTAAACCTTAAACCTTAAACCTTAAACCCTAAACCTTAACCTTAAACCTTAAACCTTAAACCCTAAACCCTCCACCCTGAACCCTGAACCCTAAACCAAACTTTAGACGTCGAGGCTGGGCTCCTGAAGAGGGCCAGGTCTCCTTAGGAGGCCACACAAAAGCGCGCTACGTTGTCGGATGTGATCGCCGGCATCACGTGACACCTTTAGAGCCTAGGGTGTAGGGTGCAGGGCTTAGGGTTCAGGGTTTAGGGTTTAGGGTTTAGGGGGTTTAGGGTTTAGGGTTTAGGGCTACGGTGCAGGAACACCACTAAGTTGTAAGCCCTCGACGCCCTCAGCCCTAAACGAATATGGAACCCCAACTAGGGGTACCCTTAATATACCGCCAAATAGTATTGTCCTTTGTATAGGAACCCCCAAATAGGGTACGCCAAACCCCAAACCCTAAACCCCAAAACAAATTTGTCGGAAACCCCCAAATGCAGGTCGACAACCCATGCTTCGTAGTGCCGATGCGTGCGCAGAGGACCTGCGAGAGCATGTGCCATGTAGGATTGGTAGGGCTCATCGAATCCCAGGACCTCATATTGGGTGTTGTCTCCTAAACCCTAAACCCTAAACCCTAAACCCCAAACCCTAAACCCTAAACCCGAAACCCTAAACCCTAAACCCTAAACCCTAAACCTTACAGTAAACCCCAGGGGTCATGGGGCCAGGATCGACCCACAGAAGGCTGTGCAGATCTCGATCAACTTCAAGTCCGACAGGCCCGATGTCGTTTGGTGCTTGGGGTTAAGGAGTCTAGGGTTTATATAGGGTTCAGGGTTTAGGGTTTAGGGTTTAGGGTTTAGGGTTTAGGGTTTAGGGTTTAGGGTTTAGGGTTTAGGGTTTAGGGTTTAGGGACCCCGAACCCTCTTTTCTCCCTTAACCCTCAATCCCAGCGATTTGTGCTTCGCAGCCCCCAGCACCATCTGAACTGAGTTGCAGCACCCAATCCAAGTAAGACGCCGGCGCCAGGCCACAAGGAGGGCGCTTGATTATCTCCTGCGACAAGGTTGGAGGGTTTTCGGGCTAAAATGTGTAGGGCTTCGGGTGACAGGAAGACATGGTTTGCCAGCTTTTCAGCTGCTTTTTGTTGCGGAGTTCGGACGTCTGCCACCTTCTGCACATCCATTCAGATTGGGAGCTGGGTGATCCGGGCTCTAGTCCTTGGCATGGAGAAGCCAGAAAGGGGTCAAGCCTAAGGCTTAGGGCTTCTGAGGGCTTTCTTGCGGGTATTGGGGTCTTAGGGTGTAGGGCTCGACAGCTTGGCCCCTACACCCCAGACGGGTTTAGGGTTTAGGGTTGAGAGTTGAGGGTTGAGGGTTGAGGGTTTACGGTTTCGGGTTTAGGGCTTGGGGTTTAGGGTTTAGGGTTTAAGGTTTAGCTCGCCCTGGCCCAGGTGTCCACTCCTTGGATTTTCTTCTTGAAGGGCGAACTATAGGTCTCCCCGATCATCGTAGTGTCCCTCAGTCTGAGGCTGTTTCGCTGGTCGCAAGAACCAAGAAAGAGTGCAAAGTGACCCTAAGCCGTAGACCCTAAACCCTCCTCTCAAACCCCAAGCCCCTAATGCCTGCCAACCAAGGGCTGGAAGCTCTTAACCCCAAGGCTACCCTGTCCGGGGTTTTAAGTGTTGAGTTTACGGTTTTGGGAGGTTTCGCTTCATAGGGTATTCATGAGAATCTCGCTAGCTTTAGGAAGAGTGCTTAGCTAAATCCCCCTAGTGTAGTAGGGTGCTTTGAGTCTGAGGGTAGCTGCATGGGCCCGTAATCTAGTCCCTTACCTCCTTTAAAGGGTTCTGATGTATGGGCCCCTTTCTTGGTATAGGGTAAACAAGGGGTATATAAGGGGTACTAGTTATAGGGCCCATGCTAATGGACCATGTAACTGGCTTTTGGGGTTCAGAGCTAAAACCTTAAGCCCTGCACTGCAGGATCTGCGGGCTCAGGTAACCCCAAACCCTAAACCCTAAACCCCAAACCCTAAACCCTAAACCCTAAACCCTACACCCTACACCCTACACCCTACACCCTACACCTACACCCTAAACGCAACAAGCAAACAGCCTCGGCCAGGTTAATGTCCGAACTTACCACAGCCACGTGGAAGACTTAGAGACCCCAACCCCGAAAGACTACAACCAGACCTCAGTCCTACAAAACGAAGGGCCCCCCCTGCCCTAAACCCTAAAACCTAAACCCTTAACCCTAAACCCTAAACCCTAAACCCTGAACCCTAAACCCTAAACCCACCCCAAGCCCTGAAGCCAAGAACCGACGATGGTGCCAAAGTTTCACCCTACGCCCATCTCCAAATCTGGGGTGCGTGCTGGGAGACCCGACGGCCAAAAGCTCCCCATCTGAAGGCTTTAGGGTTTGGGGTTTAGGGCGGTTTAGGGCAAGTTCAGCAGGATTTAGGGTTTAGGGCTTAGGGCTTAGGGCTTAGGGCTTAGGGTTTAGGGCTTAGGGTTTGGGGTTTGGGGTTTGGGGCACAGGTTTCAGGGCTTTCATCGGTAGCAGGTTTATGTTACCTGTGATTGGTGAGTGTATTTAGGGTTGCTGAAGAGTACTGGTAGTTATATGAAGCAGGGTGAATATAGTTGTTATTGGTGAGGGCATTCAGGGTTCCTTGTAAGTATTGGTGAGCGTATATATTTGGGTATATATTTGGTGTCCTTTAGGGAATCTTGTAACAAAAACCATGTTTCATATGGTAGAGGTACAGGTACCAGTAGTAGCTAGACAGGAAAGTTTTCACGGTTTTGGTGGTATAGGTTTAGGGTCTTTAGGGCAGTCTGGGAGGGTTGGGGGTTTAGGTTGTAGGGCAGGGAAGAGCAGCAATCACAGCAATCTCCCGTAGCAAGTCTTCTGGTGGTTTCGGGTTTAGGGTATGCAGAAGGGTTTAGGGACCTCGAATTCGATACCAATCTGGGGTCACGTCTAACTGAACCCGACAGGACCCCAAACCCTAAACCCTAAACCCTAAACCCTAAACCCTAAACCCTAAACTGCTCCCCCAGCATCGCACGCCTCGCATGCGTCTCACACGCACCAGTGCTGCCCACTGCATCGAAGGATGCCCAGAAGCTGCACATAAGGTGACTGACACCCCGTTAAAGGGTTTATTTAGGGTTTAGGGCTTAGGGTTTAGGGTTTAGGGTTTAGGGTTTAGGGCCCTAAATGTGAGACTGCAGGGAGCGGCATCGTTTTTCTCCCGCCCACAAGCGAACTGAACCCATGAGCCTGATGTGGCAGTCTTCTGCAAGCCGTCGTACAGCATATGCTTGCCAAGTCTGGTCCCTTGGCTGATGCAGATGTAAACCATGTAAGAAGAATAAATGCAAATAGTGTCTTTGTATAATTACACCTTAATAACCACCCAAAACCCTTCTCTAAGTATTTAGGCCCCTGGATTAGCCGAAGACTCTTCAGTCGATGATGGGTGAAGAAGTCGTTGTGTTGAGGACGATTTTAGGGAGCAGAAGGAGGCCGTGGTAAAGGGCGTTGTCGCCGTAGAAGATGTTGGTGGAGAGTCCCTGGCATGGTCGATGCCGAGTTTTCGGGTTGTAGCTGATGTTCGCCTGATGTCCCTTGTCAACCTCTGTCTAGGGCTCCATGTTAAACAGCCCCAAACTGTTCAGGGTGTTAAGGCGCAGGGTTTTAAGTGTATAGGGCTGCTTGCAGCTGATATTATGGGCAGCGCCGGATTTGTGCACATCCAAAGCCATGGCCCTGCATGACAACTTTGGTGGCATTGCGACCGCAAAATTGTGCAGAGTTTGGACTCAGGGATTTGGCATGTTTTGGGTGTAGGTTAGTTGTTTTTTTCTACGAATTGCGTCGCTTGGAGTGCTGACTTGGAGTGGAAGATGGTGCGTGAAGTAGCTGAAGGGGGCATCCTTCTCGGGAACCTTGCCGCTGGCCCCCCCGAATCCCTAAACCCTGAACCCTTGTACATCACTCCAGCGCTACAATGTGGCCTGCTTGCGCAAAGCCTCTGCAGCTCCGAGGGAAATTGTTGCGGTTTACTGACTGAGATGCAAAGTTGGCGGTTCTCCAGAAGTCTGCTTGGTTGCGAACCATGACGGAAAGCACGGAGTGTTTGTGCAATAAGCTCCTAAGCCTAGACTAGACCTTCCATTGGAGATACCATGTGATGCAAACCCTGCCGTGATCACCTGCACTTGGCGCGCCGGACTCCTGGGAAGAGGCAGAGGACCTGGTGCAATTCCATGAGTCGTTTGTGTCTGCTATTTCGATGTGCCAAGCTAATTAGAGACTTCATCTGCGTTGCATCATAAGGGGACGTCAAGGCTCAAACGTTTTAAAGAAGGAGACCAACTCATCAGTGTGTCAGCTGCGAGCATGGCAACTTCGGTGTCAGCTGCAAGCATGGCCGCTTCCTTCTTCGTGCTCATGGTGACCTTCGGCCAGGCAGAGCTCAACATCTTAGGATCTTGGGAAGACTCCAGCGGCCATACATGGAGCGGCTTAGCAGCGGCAGGGGACTTTGCCTATGTCGCTTCGCAGTCCGGTCTGTTCAAGGTAGTCAACATTGCCGACCCAAGCAGCCCCACGATCGCCGGCTCCGTCCATGAACCCTATCACCTTAGCGTCGCCACGGATATCAAGATCGCAGGCAAATATGCTTACGTGGCCGCCTTTCGAATGGCGGTGGTCGACATTACCAACGCAAGCAACCCCACCAGGGTAGACGCCACCGTCAATGGCACTATGCCTCCGAGCGATGCTCTGGCTGTCGTCGGGAACCTTGCCTATGTTGCTTCGGGGGGCACGTTTAGTACGCCTGGCACAATGGCCGTGGTCGATATCACCACCCCGAGCAACTTCGTAGTCCTAGGAAGCATCCAGGACGAACAACTCGACGAAAGCCTGAACATTGAGGTGGTCGGGAACTTTGCTTTTTTGTGCACGTACAGGGCCCGCTTCGTTTCGGTTGACATCACTGACCCTAGCAACATCACCATCGCATACAGCTTTGTGGATTTCGCCATGTTTGGGGCCAAGTACATGGCGATCGCTGGCCAGCAGGCCTTTGTGCTCTCCGAGTTGATGAACGGCCTCTTCGTGGTCGACATCAGCAACCCGCTCAGCACATCTGTCCTTGGCAATCTCCAGGTTGCGAACAGGCCAACCGGCATCGCTATTGATGGCAACTACGCTTATGTTGGCGTGAGCGGCGGCGGCATCATCGCAGTGCAGGTCATCAACATCAGTGATCCAAGCAACCTCAGTGCTGTGGACGACCTCTCCTTGGGCACAGTGGTGGATGACATCAATGGCATTGCCTTTGTTGGAGAGCATCTTTGCGTGACTTCACGCGTTGGTGGAGCCGTACTCGGCTCCACCACCACCACCACCATCACCACCATCACCGCCACCAGAACCACCACCATCACCACCACCAGAACTACCACAATCACCAGCACCACCACCACCATCACCACCACCAGAACTACCACCATCACCACCATCACCGCCACCCTCACCACCACTCTCACCACCACAACCAGCGGCACCACCACCGCCACCACCACCATCAGCACCACAACCAGCACCATCAGCACTTCCACCACCACCACCGCCCTCTTAGGCCAGCCAGACCTCGACGACGCCGGCTTCCCGTTCCTCGCCGCGACCATCGTCCTGGTCTGTGGAATCGTCGGAGCTTCCGTGGTGGTGGTGGTGGTGGTGGTGGTGGTCCGCCGGCGTGACTCAAGAGAGCAAACCGAGCCATCCCCAGCTCAAGGACGTGCTGAGCACACTCAGGAGCAAGTAGGTGCTGTGCAGACGCTGGAAAGCGGTGATGAGCAGACACTGAACCGAGAGCAAGATGAGCCATATGTGGAGTTCGCTATTTAAGAATCATTCTCATAGTGGCTGCAGTAGTAGCAGCAGCAACGGTGATCTTAATGAAGTGTTGCTGCACGACTCTTTCAGACAAGAAGCAAAGCTGTTAGTGCTGAAGGAGCTTCGGAGTTCCAGTTGGGGGGGGTTTACGATTTTTTGGGGGGGGGGGGGGGGGGGGTGGAACCTTATTGGGGTTCCTTTTGATGAAGGGATCCTACTATTTGGGGGTCTATATTCTTCGTAAACCCCCATTTGTGTGCGTGAAATGCATGAGATCCTTGACTCTGCAAGCGCGAAAATCTGAGCGGAGGCTTCCAGAGCAGAGACTTGTGCAACTTCCGCCCCAGCAACCCTAAACCCTAAACCCTAAACCCTAAACCCTAAACCACGGTGTGAGAGTGTCATGCCTTCATGACTTCGACCTTCTGCAGGACGGCAGCCCCTCCATATCCCGAAGGAGGCCTTGCCAGGCTCCTAGGTGAGGGGCGCGGCTGAGCGCATGCGGTTTAGGGTTTAGGGTTTAGGGTTTAGGGCTTAGGGTTTAGGGTTTAGGGTTTTAGGGTTTTAGGGTTTTAGGGTTTTAGGGTTTTAGGGTTTTAGGGTTTTAGGGTTTTAGGGTTTTAGGGTTTTAGGGTTTTAGGGTTTTAGGGTCTTAGGGCTTTAGGGTTTTAGGGTTTAGGGCTTTAGGGCTTTAGGGCTTTAGGGTTTTAGTGTCTTAGGGTTTAGGGTCTTAGGGTTTTAGGGTTCAGGGTTTTAGGGTTTTTTGTGGGGGTTCAGAGGGTTTCATACCCGATCCTCAGACACCAAGAGCCCTCTGAGCCCAGCAGCATGAGCACCGCGGCCTGAAACCCAGACCCTTCACTCTAGCCCCAGTTTAATTCAGGGTTCAGGGTTTAGTTAGGGTTTAGGGTTTAGGGTTTAGGGTTTAGGGTTTAGGGTTTAGGGTTTAGGGTTTAGGGTTTAGGGTTTAGGGTTTAGGGTTTAGGGTTTAGGGTGCCTCCAAAGGAACCATGGCATCAGCCATCCCCTATAGAACTGAAAGTGTACACTTGTGGGGCTTATGAACTGAGCAACGATAAGTGGTTTACTTAATATCTCTCATTATGCACGTCCATGAGTCACGCGCATTTGAAGATGGAGTGGTCTCGGATTTGTTGCGTGCATGCTTGCGAGCGTGGGGAGAGAGACAGGGTTGAACGGGTCTATACGGTAGGGTTGACAGATAGGGTCCATAAAAGGGTTTACTGGGTCTTTAATAATTGAATAGGGTTTGCAGGGTTTATAGGGTCGATAAAGGGCTTACAGTTTGTGTTTTTTGTAGGGTTTATACGCTTTACATGGTTTATGAGTCCATTTTGGGACACTGGGGCTGGTCAATTTCTAAACAGACGTTACAAATATACAAACATACAAATGATACAGTCACCCAAACAAAGCTTATTTATGTACTTAGCTGTTTTACGCATGCGCAACAAATAATAAATACAGACCGTATTCAACTATTTTTGTAGTATAAACTGTATGCGTATAATTGTGAATAAGCCATTCAGCCAGAATTGTTGCCTGGTCAATACTAAATTGATAGGGTTTACAGGGTTTGCAGGGTTTACCAAGGGTTTAGGGTCAACACCTGCTTTTCCCACTACAGCGAAAAACTCTCCTCCTGCCCCACTTTGCCCCCCGCCCCTCCCCCCCCCGCCCCCCTGCCCACCCCTCTCCTCTCCCCCCTCTCCCCCCCTCCTCGCCCCTCCCATACAGGAGGCTCATCTTTTGGGGTTTGTGAGTCTACCAGTTTAAGGCTCAGGGCTTAATGGGGTTTACATTTTAGGTTTTTAGGAGGTCGATGTCTCCAGCTGCAGACAGGTTAAGACTGGCTCGCCGGTTCCCTCAACACCCAACACCCCTAAGCTACCAGTCCCGAATCGACAGAGCTTAGGGTTGAGGGTTAGGGTTTAGGGTTGAGGGTTGAGGGTTGAAACGCTGAAGCCCTACACCCTGAAACCCTGAACCCTAAACCCTAAACAACCCTAACCTAATCCCGAAACCCGAAACCTTAAAAAGCCTGAACCCAGGCTGTACGCCGGGTTTGGGTGTGGAGGTGTTGGGTTTCAGGGATTCTGCGGGGTGAGGGGTTTAGGGGTCTTGGCGGGTATTCGCGCGGTTTACAAAACGGGGTGCTTCTCGGACTGTAGTTCCTGTCTTCGGTTTCAGAGGGTTCTGTTTTTGCTGCTAAGAGGCTAAAACTCCCTAGGGGAGCCCTCGTCCCCTCCGACGAGGGTTTGGGGTTTAGGGTTTAGGGTGTAGGGTTTCGGGTGTAGTCCCCTTTCCAAAGCTCAGCACAAACACAGACGAAACTGCCTTCGGTCTTAACCCAGCCATGTGGGTTGGCAGTTTTCTCCACAAACCCAGATCTGCAACCCCTAAACAACTAAACCCCTAAACCCCTAAACCCCTAAACCCCTAAACCCCTAAACCCCTAAGCCCCCTAAACCCCTAAACCCCTAAGCCCCCTAAACCCCTAAACCCTTAACCCCCTAAACCCCTAAACCCCTAAACCCCTAAACCCCTAAACCCCTAAACCCCTAAACCCCTAAACCCCTAAACCCCTAAACCCCTAAACCCTAAACTGGAGCTTTTATTTTGACGACGGTTCAAAGAACGGCAAGTCCAGTGCCAGTATCACAGCATTAGTCGCAGAGTTCGGGATCCAGTTCTGGTGATTGCTATTCTGGGTCGCGTAGATGGCCTACTAGCACTGGGTAGGCCATTGTGATGTTTTCAGTATTCGCTTAATAAAGGGGTCGGAATAATTACCAATTCTATTCCCTTATGGTCCCTTTGCAGTTCTACTATACTACCCCCCACGGAAAACCCTAATCATTTTTAAGGCCCCTATCTTACTGGGGTTTAAGGGCATCGCATTCAGGAATTTCAGCGGGCTTGAAGTGCCATCCTAGGGCACTCCATGAGTGATACTGGGTTAGAGCATGATATGAAGTAGGGTTTAAATTACTGTTATTGGTGAGTGTATATAAGGTTCCCTTTTAGTATTGGTGAGTGTATATATTGGGTGTCCTTTTGGGGGTACAAGAAACATATACCCTACTTCATATGCAGTGCAACCGGGTGGCTTCTCTTGGCTCGCTTCCTGTTCTCTTTTCACATGGAAGGCTCGTCCCGCGGACGGCTTTAAGCATGAGTGCATGGGACAATTCAGAAGAGCTGCAGAGGCCAGTTCCTGACGAAATCGGCTTCTCTCTTCAGGGGGACCACGATGAAGCAGACACGGCCGAAGACATGCAAGCGCAGGCTGCGCACGTGGCCGAGTTTGTGGCGCAAATGGAACTCGCCAGCCCAGAGATTCTGAGGGTGACGCCCGCCTTTCGAGCCTTCCAGCACGGCTTTCAAGCCTCTTGGTCGCCCCAGTGGTGCCCTTTTTTGCCACTTTTTTTTGGGTTTCGAGGTTCCCCGTATGAAGCAACAAACCCAAGAAGGGTAGCCTTTTCATAGGATGGTTAGTGGGCTACCGAGGCTTTGCGTGGCGCAAAAGGTATCGACCTTTACTCAAAGAGTCGGCGGAGCCACAAGATAGCAGCCTTCTGGAGCCATTCATGGCATGGGGCGTGCTGGAAGAAGATTTTGACGCTCGTCACCATCTACAACGGCCAAGCGGCAATCACGTTGGGCATGTTCGTTGCTGTTGTGATGATGGTTTTGTTCTGTTTCCTGGACCTCCCTGGTTTCGACCGGCATGATGGACACTACCGCAAAGAACACTGGTCGGTGTGGTCCACGTGGTCTGGTTTCTTGGCCACTTCTCTGGTAGCGATCTTTTGGCGGCCTCAGACTCATGTCTTCCTGGACCGTATCTGCATCAGTCAAAGCAATGCAGAACTAAAGCTGAAAGGTATAGTTGCCAGGCAGGCCCTTGGAACATTTTATTTTTCCCCTTTTGGGTTTAAGAGGATCATCTGGAACATCAGAGGGGTTTAAGGGCCCATCCTTACCCTTGTTGGGCTTTAAGGAGAATTATACAAACCCTACACCCTAAACCCCAAACCCTGAAGGGTAGGGTATTTTTTTTGTGTTTTTTTCTGGTTTTTTTTTTTGTGTTTTTTTCTGTTTTTTAAGCAAGAAAGAAAGACAGAAAGAGAGACAGAAAGAAAGAAAGAAAGAAAGGAAGAAAGAAAGGAAGAAAGAAAGGAAAAAAAGAAAGAAACAAAGGAAAGCAAGACAGAAAAAAAGAAAGAACTAAAGAAAGAAAGGCCGAAAGAAAGGAAATCAAGACAGAAATAAAGAAAGAAAAAGAGAAAGAAAGAAAGAAAGAAAGAAAGAAAGAAAGAAAGAAAGAGAGAAACAAAGAAAGAAGGAAAGCAAGACAGAAAGAAAGAAAGAAAGAGAGAAAGAAAGAAAGAAAGAAAGAGAGAAAGAAAGAAAGAAAGAAAGAGATAAATAAAGAAAGAAAGAAAGAAAGAAAGAGAGAGAGAAAGAAAGAAAGAAAGAACGAAAGAAAGAAAGAAAGAAATAAAGAAAGAAAGAAAGAAAGAACGAAAGAAAGAAAGACAGAAAGACAGAAAGACAGAAAGAAATAAAGAAAGAAAGAAAGAAATAACCCCCCCCCCCCCGCTTTGTTTAAGCCGTGCAAGCTTGCCTCCAAGCATATGCCATATGCACACTTTTGCGGAAACCCATCATGCGAGAATCGTCACATTTTCGGAAACCCATCATGCGAGAATCGTGTTTGCAAATGGGGGGGCTGCGCCCCCCCCAACCCCCCCGCTTTCTCAAGCCGTGCAAGCTTGCCTCAAAGCATATGCCATATGCACACATTTTCGGAAACCCATCATGCGAGAATCGTGTTTGCAAATGGGGGGGGCTGCGCCCCCCCCAAGCCCCCGCTTCCCGCAACACACCCTACACCCTAAACCCTAAGCCGTAGTTCCTGCCATATGCACACTTTTGCGGAAACCCATCATGCGAGAATCGTCACATCTTCGGAAACCCATCATGCGAGAATCGTGTTTGCAAATGGGGGGGGCTGCGCCCCCCCCAACCCCCCCGCTTTCTCAAGCCGTGCAAGCTTGCCTCAAAGCATATGCCATATGCACACATTTTCGGAAACCCATCATGCGAGAATCGTGTTTGCAAATGGGAGGGGCTGCCCCCCCCCCCAACCCCCCGCTTCCCGCAACACACCCTACACCCTAAACCCTAAGCCGTAGTTCCGGACTGAAGGGGCAATGATACGAGGAGCAACCTTGACCCCGCAAACCGTAGAGCCTAATAAGACCCAAATCGTCCACCATAAGCCGCAAATCCTGATAGAATGTTTGCGGCCTACATGCGCAGTAAGCCCTAAACCGAAGCAAAGTTTCAGATTGAAGCATCCGAGGTTCCTCTTGAACCAGCCCCGGACGTTAACTAGCTTTTGAGTCCTGTCGGGGCCAACGATGGCCGCCCCGACGCTCCAAGCGCGAGTTGCAAAAGGACGAAGGGTTGGACGTAATGTGTTGTTGTAGCACGTTGAGATTTGGACCTGTTCCGGACACGCGGTGCCGCTGAGAGGCCATCGGAAGCTGAAAACCAGCAAAATTCACCAAAAAAACCAGAAAAATACACAGAAAAGAATTCCCACAGAGGAGGACGACAGGCAGAACCAGGAGGGCATGTTCTGAAAACCACAAGAAAAGCAAGAAAAAACAAGAAAATTCACACAAAAAAAAAAAAAAAAACAGAAAAAATTGACAAAAAAAATCCTCGCTCCAACCCTGAACCCTAAACCCTACACCCTAAACACTAAACCCTAAACCCAAAACCTAAACCCTAAACCCAATTGCCCTCCTAGGTCAGTCTGGCCGGGCTTCTGCGAAGGTCGGAGTCGATGCTCGTTCTCTGGGATCCAACGTGGACCACGAGGTTGTGGTGCTTGTTCGACCCTAGGCCCTAGGCCCTTGGGAAAATTCTTCACACGGTTTAGGGTTTAGGGTTTAGGGTTTAGGGTTTAGGGTTTAGGGTTTAGGGTTTAGGGTTTAGGGTTTAGGGTTCAAGAGGATCTTATCTATCAGTATGCTTCACAGGGTGTCTAGGGTCCGCGAGCCAGGAATTGGCGGCCTTCTTGAAAAGCAGCGAGCATGAGGGTGAGAAGCGAAAGCTGATCATCGCGCCAACCCTTCTGGGGCCAGTTCGCAGTGGAATCTTCCTGACTGCGACCGCTGGCGTGCTTGCTTTCATAATGTCGCCTGCGGTGCGGGCCTCCCCTTCGACTCCGCAGTATTATTTCCTCAACACAACTTTTGTCACCCTGGTCGTTCTCCTTGTGGTCGACTACGCGCTTGTCAGCACTTTGAGAAGCTATTTTCGAGATTTGGACACTATGAGGCGACAACTTCTCTCCGTCTCCTTCGATACAGCTCTTTGTGCGTGCTGCACCCACAACCACGTCACGCCATCCGGTGCCCCTAGCATGTGCGACCGAAAAATTTTGAAGGATTGTCTGGGCATCTGGTTCGGCAGCTCGGAATCGTTTGAGCGCACGCTGCGCTCAGAAGTTCTGGAGATTTTGGAACAGGACCTTGAGCAAGTTTTGACCACACGGTCAACAATCGCAATATTTGCGCCAATGATGTGGGGCTTCATGGACTATTCCGCTACCTTCTCACGGGTTGAAGGACCCTTCTGGAGTCACAGCTCCCCGGCTGTATTCGCTGCTGGTTTGGTGGTTTGGCTCGTGGGCATGCCAACGTTGAAGGATTGGGTCCTGCTTGTTTGCAAGCTCGCACGGGCAAGGCCAAGCAATCGGTGGTTGGAGGGCATGAAGAACACACTGATTGTATGTATGTCTCTGATTCCACTCATAAGCATTGGGCTCATATTCTTGTTTGCATATGGTCTTCCCCTGCTCCCGCCGGGACATTCGGGAGTGGCCATGGCCGGTACGCTGATCCATGCCGTGTTATTTCAGCGCCTCGGAGTTGTCCTAAGATCTCTCCTTGGGGCGAAGCCATAGGTGACCCAGTGCGAGCGCTTCTGTGGGCGCAAAATCTGCCCAAATTATTGCGACGGAAACGACGGAAACATTGAAATTAAGAAAATTAGCGACGCAACGACGGAAAAATAAATAGCAGGAAATAAGCCTGACAAGCACATACCCTGAACCCTAAACCTCGAAGCGTCCTTGGAGGGGGGTGTTGGTGGGGTGATTGCCAACTACTTCGATTTTTGGGGGGCACCCATCCTGCCCGTCCTGGCCAGGGCCCATTGCTCGGGGCAGGGGGGGGAGGGTAGGGGGGGCAGGGGGGGGGGAGGGGGGGGTTGCAGGGGGGGGGGGGTAGGGGGGGGGTAGGGGGGGGGTTGGGCAGGGGGGGGGGGGGGGGGGGGGGGGGGGGGGGGTTCGCACGAACCAGCCGCAACTCCGTTTGGGGCAGTGTGCGTTAAATGGGCCACTTCCTCTGTAGCGACACGGGCAAGGCGTTGACTTCAGAAGTGAAGGTTCGCGTTTCGAATCCCCCTCACCAAATCGCGAAATAGCTGCTAACCCGCTCGCGCATTAGCGGCTAATTCGCAAACTCCTGCGTGAACCCGCCTGTGTTCAGGGGTGTTGGAGCAAGCGGCGGTCCAAGGGGTGAAGCGAACGAATTAGCAGCTAATTCGTTTGGTTTGAGTTTTGCTGGTGCTACGAGGCTAAACTGTAGCCGAACGAATTAGCAGCTAATTCGCTTGGTTTTGTTTTCTGCTGGTTTGGCACTACAATCAACCCAAGCTTGCCCAGCAAGCGGCTGTCCGGGTGGAGGGGGGGGGGGTGAACCGAACGAAATAGCAGCTAATTCGCTTGGTTTGATTTTTGCTGGTGCTAGGAGGCTAAACTGCGAACCAGCTAATTCGTTTGGTTTTGACCTAACTCGTTGCGACGAGCCTAAACTGCGAACCGAACGAATTAGCAGCTAATTCGCTGGGCGATCGAGGCTCAACCGTGGAGGGGTGACCGAACAAATTAGCAGCTAATTCGTTTGGTTTGATTTTTGCTGGGAGGAAAGGTGTGGGGTGAAGTGAAGCAACAGTCTATTAACAATAGCAGACAAATTATAGCAGCTAAGTTCACTTGGTTGAGGTTAGGGGGCAGAAGGCAACGAACCAGAATGAATCGGCAGCTAATTCGCTTGGGTGGCTCATTCGAGGGGGGGTTGAGTTTCCTGCCTTTTGTTCTTTAGGTGTGCGACGGAACCAAATTAGCGAGATTTAGCTGCGACGTAAAAGCGGAATAAAGGCATCGGGTTTAGATTTAGCGACGACGGAAAATCCAAAACAATTAGTGTGAATTATTATATACTGTGCAGGCAAAATGCTGGTGGTTTGCAGGACTGGGTCCTCTAGCTTGGTCCGAAGGGTTAGAGTGACAGGCCCATAGCCCAAAGGCCCCAAACCCCCAAACCCTGACGTGTATCGGCTTGTTAGGTTCAGTGTCATGAGACTCATGAGAGCGGCGGATTCCTCATTTTCGAAGCCCGAGGCCCCTCAACCCTACTCCCGCTTGTGCCGTTGGGATTTGACTCGATTTGTTCCCACGATTTTTGGGTTTAGGTTTAAGGGTTTAGGCTTTGGCGGCCTCCTCCTTCGACCTGGATTTAGGGTGTCGAGCCTGGGGGCTTATATAGTCCCCATCGACCGAAGTCCCCCCCCCCCTTTCCGCGACCCCCCCCCCCCCCCCCCCCCCCCCCCCCCCCCCCCCTCGTGCCTTAAGGATGCTTAACGCTATTCTGCGCGGCCACGAAGAGGAGACGGTCAATGGAGGAGGGTCGGACGGAATGAATTTTGACGGGTCACGGTGAAGGGAGGGGGTCGGAACATTTTGCTGGGAGAGGGGCGTGGCGTGAAATGCATGGATGTGCGGTTGGACGGGTTCCGGGGGGCGAGGACAAAGATGGGGGAGCGCGGACGGGGAGCATGACATTCGGTTGACAAGGGGTTCGCGCGATGTATCTGGTTGAAGGGGTAGTCACCTTCCGCGCCCTCCGCAAATGCCCTCCGCAAACGCCCTCCGCGCCCTCCGCCCGCCGCGCCCGCCGCGCCC